TACTTAACAAAATGTAAATATGAAATGTGTATTAAATGTTTTAAATTTGTCAATTTAATTTTACCATTTTAAAATCAAAAATTTTTTATAATTTTTCAGTTGTGATTTTAACAAGTATACCATGAGGATTATATTAGACGCAGTGGATAAGCAAAACGATTCGCAAAATAATAAATCAAATAAGAATTCTACAGAAATAACTGCTGATTCGAGCGATGATGATGAAGAAATGCTTCTAATTAAGACAAATCATGGGGATGTTAAAGATGAAAGTGAATTTGTTGAAGAAAGTAGTAGCAGTAGTAGTGGCGACGAAAATGACAGTGAGAATGAAGAAAATAGGATTTAACAGATGAACTTGATTAAAATAAGTTATATAATAAATATTTTTTATTGCTATGATGTGACCATATGACTATAAGATATTTTACCATTTGTTAATTATATAATTAAATTCAATATATAAACATTTGTTTATAAATTTAATATAACATATTTTGGTTTCTTGAAAGAGTAAGTACAAGAAACAACACCTAAATAATGTAGTCATTGCTAAAAGAGAATCCGTTGAAAACTTGTGTGACCCCTTTGGGTCATGTTGAACGGCACTTGATCGCCTTCGACGGGTGGCTCCTGGACATAGACCCGGCCGTTCTTGAAACCCCCATGACGTCGTCCATCTGCTCTCTTATTCCACTGCACACACTAATTTAAGTCCAATCGACTTTTGAACTCATCCCTTTTAGGTAGCTAGGTTTCTACGGCTGGACTCTGGTTGATTTCAATTATATCCTCTCTCTCCTTTCCCATTATCCCCTTAATTCTAACCCAACACATCCACTCTCCTAACCATGCATTCGTTTTGTAATCCCTACATGTTAACTGCTTTTCAGATCCCGGAGGGGTACGACGACAACAACAATGCATTGAATGAATCGTATTGAAGATGCAATCTACCTATAAATAAAAATTTGTGTTTGATGTTTAGTTACCTGCCGTTAGTCATTTCTCACATCAAAATCAGAATTTAAAATATTGATTAAGTTTCGATTCTGAAAGCTGTTACATATCAACTTGCCTCTGTTAAAACAACAATTATTTTATTAAAGAATAAAACAAAGTCAGAGTGAATAAAAAACTGATTATTTCTATCAAAAATTATAAGAAAATAGCGAACCTAAATATATATCACTTCCCTGTAGTTCTTTGAAATCTATATCAGCTATAGCCATGTCAAATCATAATACTTTTTTATATGTAGTCGTTCCCATACTCATTTGTATATTCCTAATACCACCATTGTTACAAGACTCTGTGTGGAATTGCCGGTATTGTATCAGATGTTTATTGTATCAGATGGCATATAAGAGAATGTTTGGCTTCGTGCATGGAATTTGGTAAAAATAAAATACCATTTGTTGACCGAAAGCAGCGACAGTTGCTGAAGAAAATGATTTTGTTAAAATACACGACCTAAAGAAATTTCTCTAAGCATACCTGAATGTTTTTGTTCGTCAGACAAATTGTATAGTATAAAAGCTACTATGTTCTTCTAAATCCCTGTAAGGATATATAAAAAAAATTATAACGGTTTATAATTTTCTTTAAGGAATATGTTACAGCTCGAAAGAATGACCAGAATTATTAATGAAGAGATTATAATGTAATAACAAAAATATAATATCATTTGTTATACAATAAAAACAAGCAATTTGGCGCAAAATATGCTGCCTTCTATAATAATATTACAATTAAAAACAACAATATATTTTTATTTTTATATATTCAATATAGTTTTTTTGAATTTCCCTTGCATATATACAGTGTGAAGATGTGATATGTTTATGATAATGTGGAATTACAAAAGTTAAATTTCAGAGAATAGTGTTCTTTCCGGATTTTATAATAAAGAGTTTGATTGCTGTCCTTGAATAAGCAATGTGTATTCTTAGTGAGTTATTTTAATTGACAATAAGTTTTATCAGTATTCTTAGACTTTAGAGTAAGAATGAAGTAATATGCCACTTGTAATTAAATGCAAAGTTGGTTTAAAGT